TGACCCCTTCCAACCCCTAGTGACACATAGATATCTATCCATAAACCCTCCAAGTTCTAGAAGCTCCACTTACTGGCTTTCTAGCAAAAGAACTTAACAGTGTTTTTTTTTGTTTTTTTTGTTTTTTTTGAGACAGAGTCTCACTTTGTTGCCCAGGCTAGAGTGAGTGCCGTGGCGTCAGCCTAGCTCACAGCAACCTCTAACTCCTGGGCTCAAGCAATCCTCCTGCCTCAGCCTCCTGAGTAGCTGGGACTACAGGCATGCGCCACCATGCCTGGCTTATTTTTTCTATATATGTTAGTTGGCCAATTAATTTCTTTCTATTTATAGTAGAGACGGGGTCTCGCTCTTGCTCAGGCTGGTTTTGAACTCCTGACCTCGAGCAATCTGCCTGCCTCGGCCTCCCAGAGTGCTAGGATTACAGGTGTGAGCCACCGCGCCTGGCCTTAACAGTTTTATTGTGCATAAGAGACTTAGCCTTTTCTGATCACAATGGGTAATTAAGTGGACAGTAGTCACATGGGTTGGAGAATGGGCTTTGCTGCCTAGTAGTTGCCATATATACTACACATATGATACTAATTTTCAGAGAATTGGGATGCACATGAACAAAACAAAATATTTTAATCTCTCTTTGAGTAAAAGAACACTTTAGAATCAGTTGATCAGTTACACAGCCAAGCACTGTCAATATTGGATACCAAGCTGACATCACATTGAGCTTAGGACATTCTCTGGAAGCTGATTTTAGACATTTATCTCTAGCTCATAAAATTAAAAAGCAGATTGTGGCAGGGAAAAAAAAATCCAGTATTTCAGATTTCTGGTTGCTAGGGCTATAGATGAAGAGAATTTTATGAATATGTTCCAAAGCTTATATTCCAAAAGAAGTTTCATTTTTCATATAGAAATAATAAAAGTGTAGGTGGCCTCAACAGCTGTAATTTTTAAAAATTAAGTACAGAGATGCCTTCTGCTAACATTTGAAGTTGACATTCTGCACAGCCAAAAACTCTGTTCTTCACTTTTATCTAATTTGGGATTTTAGCTAGTATTTCCAGGCTATTAAGCACCACTTCTGAACTCCCAGTGATTACATCAGGATGCCCCTGTTCCTTCAGTATTGATCAGCAGCGTCCTCTTCCCCAACAGGTGATAAATTTATTAGTAACTATCCAAGCCGCCCCAGCTTTAGGCAATTGTCTTCTTAAGAATTATAGTATTTATTCATTGGAGGATAATAAGACAAGGGAAGAAGTCAAATAATTTTGCCTGTAATTTGCAGCTGTTTCATACAGAGCGATGCTTCACAGAGAAAAGAGCCTGCAGTTCAGATATTATATAATGTCCCCTACTTTGCATGAGGCGTTGTGAATAATTTTTTTACAAGATGCACTTTATTTATGAGCAGGTCCCTCCATAGAAAGAGCTTGTTAGGGCTTAATGCTGATGAATGGAGACAGCACCATTCACACTTCCAGGTTATAGACTGTCAGTGCTTTCATTATATGCACTAATTTACAAGGATTTATTTATTTTCTCCCAAATGTAAAAATGTGCTCCAAGCTAAACATGCTGTCTGGGCATCTGAGCCCGATGTTTTCCTTGGTGTGTGTGGGGGGGATGGGGGTGGCATGGGTATGGGGACTCAAGCTCTTATGTGTGTTCGTCCCACCTCCACCCCCACCTGCCCTACATTACTGCCTAACCTTGTGGAAATATCAGTGATCTATGTATTTTTGTTTGCTTTAAAAATGAATACTGGGTAAAATTTTAAAACCTGGAAGTGGTTTTCTTAATGCAGTTTAAATCTTTTCTTATCCAAAGACTGTGCCTTCAATTGTGTTTTAACTGCTAATGAAAATGCTGTCAATGGACGTGACCATTGGGACAAATTATACCTACAACATTTGGGTACCAAGTTTTGTAGAGCTGAGTAGAACAATATCAAAATACGAAAGTAAATTGAATCTGTAGATCTTGCTAGCCCCAGATGGCTTTCTGTGATCTGAAATCCCTCACATCTCCATTTCTGAAGAATAAAGCTTAAAATATATACTGGGTATGTGTCACCTCCTCCCACCCAGTCTAACAAGCAGTAATAGATCTACTGCATCATCACTATCCCTGGGTTATAACAGTACTCACTATGGGAGGGGAAACCTCCCCAAGTGTTGGACAAAAATAATTCTCTTTTTTCTGCCTAGGCTTTTTCCAGTTGGTTTTTACCCTCAGTGAAAATTAAATACCCCTTAAACTTCATCATTCAAGAAGTTGTAAACTAGTAGGTTGGGGAATTTGTGTGTTGGTTGATTGGTTGATTGGTTGGTTGACAACGGAAGGAAAATGAGAGGAAAATATGTACATATAAAATATGCCTAGGTATATCTATAAAGCACCTATCACACAGTTCCCTCAAAGCCCTTTCTACTATTTCTTTTTCAACCCCAAATATAAGTGTAACCCAATCAAAGTTAATTTAAGAGTCTCAAGGAAAAAGGAGTATGTTTGGGATTTGGACCATGATAAAAGAAGTTGCTACACAAATATATGAAAGGAGAATATTCTACAAACTGTCAGCAGAATAAACCCTGAAGGCAAATAGTAAGTATTTAATAAGCCCAAACTTATTTCAAAGGGCACTCATCCATGGAACTCAGCTGACATGAAGAGAGACAGACAGAGAAGTTCACAGTGTTTAGAACTTCACAAAAATTGAAAGTAGGAAAACCCGATAAAGCCCAGGATTATCCTCCCTGGCTCAGCCCAAACTTCTCATTCTGATGGGGATGAAACGTATGGCAGTCAAGGAACAGAATTGTCCTCCCTGATGTCAGCATAAAGATGTAAAGACCTCCTCAAATACACTAGTTAAGAATACATTTGTTGCTCTATACCTTTTGCAAACCTGCTCAAATTTTTAGAGGATCAGATTCTCTAAATTTACTAACTCCTAGTTAAGAGCAACACTTCATTTTATTTTTAATATTCTTAACTAAAGTTTCAGAGTACTCCTCTTAGTCTTATTTTCAGTGTATCCAAATTCTTTGTCCTTTGTCACAGAGCCTAGCATAGTGGCATTCAGTACATGTGTAGTAAATGATTCATGATTTCATACACTTCAAGCACATCTCCTGTCAGCCTTTCTCTCTCCACACCTGAGTCTTAATCTCTCAGTCCATCCTCTTATAACAGCCAGATTTTAAATTTCATACTTAGTGATATTTAATATATAGGTCATAGAAGATGGCCTTAAATAATAGGCCTGCCAGAAACCAAACCAAATTCTAGGCAGTCAAGAAGTTAATTTTGCCAAAATACAAACAAACAAAGAAAAAAAGCAGAAGTTCCCCTTGGTTCATCTGCAGCCAGAATGTTCTGGAGAAGAAATAAATGTTCTATGTGCCATCATAATTTGACCTGACCCAATCTTAAAAGTCTTTTTAAAAATCTCCTTAAAGGTCCTTATGCCTCAAAAAATGATAAAGGGATTTATTGACATGGAATTACCTAGTTTGGACATACTAGATTCCTTGGAGAACTCACGAAAACACAGATGACTTTAGAAGCATTCCAGGGAAGTTAAAATGAATCTGTATCTTTTATAAATGTTAAGGATTAATACTTCATAGTGAACATTAGGATTAATCAAAGTATACCATAAAGCCATGTCTTAATATTAACTTCCTGCCAAAGAATTTGCTCATGTAAAAGCAGTTTATTAAGTGGGGTTTATTAAATTGTCTTTAGATGAGTTCATGCTTTGCCAAGAAATTAGTGTGTGAGTGTGTGTGTGTGTGAGAGAGAGACAGACAGAGAGAGAGACAGACAGAGAAAAAGAGAGAGTTGTGTTTTGTTAAAAGGATATGCTTATTAGCACAAAAGTTCCTAACTTTAACATACACTCAGTGAGTTTCACCAGGTCGGAATAAAGGGGAGAGGGGAAAAAACGAAATTGTAGACTACTTTGAAAGTAATACCATGTGGTTATTTTCAAGAGCACTGCCAAAAGCACGAAGAGAAACAGGAGTTGAGCCATATGTTCTTTGTGTCTGACGCTTTTTATATGTATTATTTCATATGATACAACAACCTAGGTGTAGAAAAACCAACTCATCCTGGTGTGTCAAGGACTTCCCTGGTTTTAAAACTGAGCCCTGCCTCAGTCCTGGGCAAACCAGAACAATGGTTCACCTTAGCTAGGTAAGGCAGATCATCTTTTCCCTATTTTACCAAAGAGGAGGCTGAAATGTGAAAACGACTGATTCAAAGTCACATATCAGTTGTAAGTAGTGTATTCAGTATTAGAACCCAAGCCTTCTAACTGCTATCATAATACACTTTCCAAGAAACCAGGCTATAATTAATACAGTGTGTAAAAACTGTGAAAATTTTATTGGCTTTTATTTTTTTCTAGAAGCTTAGCCATTCCCTTTCTAATGTCATAATTTTGCTCTGCAAGTCCCCTTTTAATAGATAATACAGAGAAAAAAAAACACCTCATCCCAGTTTACTAGAATTACTACAAACTCCCTGTTAACTGAGTGCGAATTAATGAAAATAATTGTAATGCTTTTCTCGTCAGTTATTTCCTAATGCAACCATGAAAATAGGCAGCAGCCTGTGCATGCACACCCCAAAAGAAATGTAACATATACTACCTCTCCTGTCTTTTCCCATTTATGTTAAAGAGGATTTTTTTTTCTGTTCATAGGGGTATGCAAATATCAAGGGAGTAGAAATGTAAAACTGGACAAAACAAAATTATTAGGTCTGGTGTTATCTCCATATGTTACTTTTTGTCATTTCTTCTCAATACACAAAGAAGTGAATGTGTACCCCAACAAACCTCTACCATTACTGTCCTGTCTGTACCGAGCAAAATTGAACCCGTATAGCTTTAAAATGCCTTTCCATTGCTATGGCTTTTTTAAAAATACTGATCTTAGTGCAAATGTGGCCCACTAGACTACTAATGCTCATTTGCTGTCTCCCAACAGGCATCACAGTTGATAAGCATGGATTCATTTACTTTGTGGATGGGACTATGATTCGGAGAATTGATGAGAATGCCCTGATCACAACTGTAATCGGCTCAAACGGTCTGACTTCCACACAGCCACTGAGCTGTGACTCAGGAATGGACATCACTCAGGTAGGCACCACTGGTTTTCAAGTGTTATCACCACTGGGCATCATGGAAATGGATAACAATTTTCTCATACAGAAATTAGGTAGAAAGGAAGCGTGGTGTATCTGTTATAACACCAGATAGCAGAAGTTTCTCTTTTATGTAAGTTACTTTTTTCCTCCTCAGAAAAACTTAGTTGGTAAAAAATGGTAAGGATGGAAATAATGCTAGGTGGAATATTGCCATAACAATTAAAATCTCCCAAATTTGAATCAATTAGAGGGGAAGGCCAATCTCATTTACTGAATATTTTCCAAGATATGTAAGTTCATTATTTTTAAATGAAACAATAACTCAAATTTTAAAAAGTAATGGCTACTAAAGCTCTTTAGAAATCTTTTTGTAATGAATATATGAGCATAACTTGTTATTCATGTCAATATAAATAGCTACCTCTAGGGTGTTTGAAAGTTTTCCTGAGTAAAAGCAACATCCCCTTTAAGATCTATTTTACATTTATTTAGGAAAATATTTTAGGCCAGTAAGAATAAAAGAGAAAATTTATTATAGCTTTCATCTCAGCCCACAATTCTACAAAATCAGTGTTAGACATGTAAAGAGATTTCAGAGCATACAGCATAGTCCCAGCACTCTGCAGATGCCTTTCCTAGTGTGCAAATGCAAGAAGTTGGTGTGTTAAATGAAGGAAATAGATCAGACAGTCCTCAAAAGAACTTTCCAGTTCTAACATTCCATATATCTGTGACTCTGATGAAGTAGCCTATTAGATAATCTTTTCAAATAGATTAGAGTGGATGTTGAGAGTTTTAGAACTTATTAGTGTATCAGAGAGGATGGTTTTTGGCTTGAAGTATAAAATATTTTTCTAAAAGTGGCTTAAACAATAAGGTTTCATTATCTCACATAATGAGATGTCCAAAGGTAGGCAAAATGTCAGCAGATTTCCTTCTTATGTCACATTGGCCAGAATTGAGTTGTATGCCCATACTTTCACCAATCACTGGCAAAGGGAAATGAGAATTCCATAATGGATTCAGACCCTCTGGAACTGGGTCCTCTTCCCTGAGCATATCGCTACCTGATTCTTGAACCAAAGCCAGGGTTCTGTTAGCAAGGAATGAAGGGTTGCTATTGGATAGGCAACCAGTAGTATCTCCCACAGTTAGGATATTCCTGTTGCTTCATTTGTCATACCACCTAAAACCAAGCGAAAAAAGGAAAGTAAACTGAACATATCACCCAGAAACCTTTCTTTAGTCATTAGCTCTAATACCTCCTCCCACCTCCACCCACCATGAGTATACAACTCTATAAAAAAAACTAGAAATGTGCCTATCTGGGACTTCTTCTTCCTTCTGTGCTCCTGTCCCACCCCAGAAATTCAGAAAATGGTCAAATATAACCAACTACAGAAATAAAATGGGGAGTTAGGCCTGGAAAACTGTCAAAATGATCAAAATGTTCTTAATAGAGATTTGAGTGGGTTGGGCTATCAACTCCTAGAACAGTCCAACTTTCCATGATTCAAATCCTGCAGAAGGCAAGGGAAAGGAGTATTATTTATGGCAATAAAGAAGGGTGTGAATGCATTTATATGGGGGAAGGGGAAGAGAAAGGATGCACATGTATTATTCACTTGCAGGATATTTTTAACTTAAGATAGGACACTTAGTATTGCAATCAGTCAACTCTAAACAACTTTTCTGTTTCTATGTGGAAAAGTTATGCTGAAAAGAGAATTCTTTGTCCAAATAGAGCAAACATATGATCCTCATGACAATGAGAAGGGTTCTGTTCCACATGGCAGTTTCCAAACATAATTGCCACCATAAAATCTACCTTGTCCTTTTCAGGTTGGGATGTACAATGCAGCCCACTGAAAAGGAGCCCTGGAAACCAGGAAACAGAATCATATTTTCCCTATGGCATTTCATTCCAAGCCTCAGTTTCTCTGAAGTATCCCCTCCCCCCCCCTTTTTTTACACAGTTTCACTTTAGAGACACAGTAGATTTTTTTTAATTTTAATTTTTTTTTATTTTAGCATATTTGAGACATGGTAGATTTTGAGGTGAGGGGTGAGGGGTTGCATGAGATGAGAGGGGCATGCTAGAAGCCTAGCAAGATTTACTAGTAAAGAAAGCAGGTTTCATAGCCAAATTATTTAGTACCTATCTCTGCTGCTGTTCAGCATGTCCTGTTCTGTGCCTGAGGCACACTAAAAAATAACTACAAATTTGTCTCCCCAGAGTGGCTTAGAACAAGGAAGTCACACGGATCTCTACCTCAGTGTCCAGAGTATCATCCTCCACCTTTATTAGGGGCCTGTTTATCATGGCCCCATTCCCCCAGTCTGGAATACCTCTGCTGCTCTAAATCCCATTCCCACTCCCCTCACACTTTACCTCTTCCATGGGAACCTTCTCTGATGGTTCTAGTCCTCTCTGTAATCTCATTCCCTTACTGGAATTTGTTCTTTGTTGACAAACTGTGTATCCAACTAGTCTTACATGGTAGACTGTGTGTTCTTTGAACATGCATAGTAAGTGCTCAGCAGGCACAGCTAACATATATACCTGGACCAAAAGGACACAGAGAATATGGAGGAGTGGTGAGAGAGAGAGCTAGAGAGGTATGTGGGTGAAATGGCAAGGACCTTATAAGCAAGGTAGAGTTTCAGTTTTATCCAGAGGACAATGAGGAACCAATAATAGCATTAAGCAGGGAAATGAATTTTTAAAATAGTATTAAGCATTGAAATCATGTTTAAAGATCATTCTAGCTGTCATATTGAGAATTGTGTGGAGTGAAACAGTGCTAGAGGCAGAGAGACCACCTAAGAGGCACCTGAAGTAATCAGGTATGACAGGGACAAAACATATCAGTATATAAATGATAAGCTCCTTTCTAAGGGACTGCTGTATAACTTAAGTTGCTTTCCAATGCTTTTTGGATCTTCAGTTGATATTGCTTTGGAACAAAACTCTGTGGTGAGTGAGACTGTCCATGAAGCTGCTCAACTTTATGCAGGCTACATAGGCAAGCAATGTCAATGGCTGAACCTAAAGTGTCACAGTATGGATTGAGAAAGCAAATTAGTGAAATGTTGGAGCTAATATCAAAGAACTTGTTGACTGGCAATTTCAGAATTAAGAAAGTACATGGATGGTGGTACCATTCACTGAGACAGGTACAAGAAGAAGAAAAGTAGGTTTGAGTGATGGTTGGATGAGGGGTTCAGTTTGAGTTCAGTATGTCAACATATGCCTATATGGCATATGCCTATATGGCATCCAGGTAAAACTATCTGGCAAGCAATTGGATACAAGTCTAAATCTCAAGGTCTGAAATACAGATTAGGTTTGTGATGATTATTAATTTACATAGGGTAATGGCAAATAAGTGAGTGGATGAGATCTCTCAGGGAGAGTATATATCATAAAAAGGGAAGACTTAGACCAAACTCTGAGGAATACCAATATTCAGGAGAAAGCTGAGGAATGGGAACCCACAAAGGATGCTGAGAGGAAGAGACCTGACAATTAGGAGGAAAACCAGGAAGTTGTCAAAAAGGCCAAGGGAAGCAAGCTTTTTAAGAAGAAAGGAATGGTCAATATCAAATGCTGCTTAGTGATCATGGAAAATAAGGTGTTTTAAGAAGCCATCTGATTTTACAGCATTAATAACTCTAATAAGAATGCTTTTGGTAGCATGCTAATTAATGGGAGTCAGATTGTAGTGGCAGAAATAGAGAAAGTGAAAATAGATCACTTCTTTGAGATGTCTGGCTGGGAAGGAGAGGCTTTGGCATCAAAGCCAATCAACTCCCTGGTGTGGGCAAATCAGCACCTAGATGTGGCACAGGTGAACAAAAGCTGTAGCACATGTAATGAAATCAATGGTGAGTGGATAGAGTATTTACCAGGAGGAAACCTATGTGTGGCACAGCTTCCTAGATGCTCAACCATTATGGCCAGAGCTTCCCATCTGTTTAGACAACTGTGGCAGATTGACGACAAATGTTCCCCATGACTATACTTAAGAACATGGGCTGTCTTCAGCTAGACAGAAGAAAGCTGAGTAGGGAGCTTCATAACACCCTCCAAGAGCAAAGCCCCAGTTGTTTATAGTAGTACTTACAGTGATCCAGCTGGGCTTATACAGTGCTCAGTTTCATATTTCAGTAAATCAAAATATACTGATGGGTGAGAGCAGAGACAAATGTCTAAATGAGAGCGCACAGTTTCTGCTGACACAAATGGACAGGGGAGAAAATAGAGGCCTGTGCTACAGCATGAAGATTTGAATCAGACTCTAAGAAAAGCTTCCTGTTTCTAAGACTATGTGGCAGCATCATACATTATCAAAAGATTTTGTGAAGTTCCCACCTTTTGAAACTTTTCAAGCAAATATTGGATCACAATAATCCATGAATGCTTGACATATAGGCCTCCGTGAAGCCAGGAAAATGGACCAATTGTTTTCCCAAGGTTTCTTCAAACTTTGTGAAGTTTCTTTACAGAAATATAACCAAATTTCTAAAGTTCCTTGTTATCTTTCCTGTATTTCAAAACTAAAAGGTCTCAAACAAGAAAAAGCCCATCTCTGCTAGCATAGTACCTACAGAGATTGGGAAATGATGTGAGTGATCCTTTTTCTCTTCCTTGCCTTTATCTTCCGCACTTTCTGAGGCAAACATGAGCCCCAGAAAGAATCAATTCTCAATAGCTTGTCCTAATCTTCAGCAGATCAAGATGTCCTATATTAATTCAAAGAATAACTGCTACCACTTACAGAGAGCTTACTATGTGCCAAGAACTGTGCTAAGCGTCTTATTTGCACTGTTCCATTTTATCTCCACAACCGCACCACCCTTGAGAGGTAGGTATTATTATCCCCATCTGCAGAGGAGAAAACTGATAGTCAGAAGGATTAGGTATTGGTCTATGACCATTGAGTTACTAAGTGATATAACCAGGACTTGTGCACGAGATTTCTGGCCCCA